ACAACCCTTATGCCCTGCATAACAACAACAACAGTGAAATACCACCCTTATACTCCGCATAACAACAACCAAACCACGCAACAATTCACATGTGCTATCATTACAACAACACAACATAACAACTCATATCACAATTTTCTGTAAGCCACAACCTTTCCAAGAATTCAACGATATCAATATTTTCACAACAAAAATCCCACGGCTCAACACAATATATATAGAATCTTAATAACAACAAAATGAATGGAACGGTAACTCAACAAGTAATAACACCCCTTTTTCAATACAACTTCGATTAGAATAGATTAATAACTCTCAATAACTTCAATTTCAATTAATTGTTTAAAGATAACCTCGATAGTGATAGTACTTCCATGGAGTGGCAAACTTCAGACTCTAATGTATAAATTAGGCTGACAATGAGAGAAATGGCATGAACTAGTACTTCGTCTAAATGTATGGAGACAACCTGACAACAAAATATATCATGTGGCGACAATCTCAACTATGAGTATCTCCATAATAAAGGAAATCACATTCCTGGACACAAAGTGATAACAACTCCAAATAAAGCATATAGAATCAAACTCGACAAGTAAAGAATGTGACATGTAATGACAACTTCAAATAAAACATGTGATAGTAGACACGGTGAATAAAGATATAACACATGCTAACAATTTCAATTAAGTACATAAAACATGCCTAAGAGTCTAGACATGTCAATTTCCACATATAAGCCCGAGTACATACTCATCACCTCGCGTACACGGCTTTCACAAGACACAAATAGCACAAACGACTCAAGTCCTAAGGGGTAGTTCCTCCCCTCCCCCCACAACGTTAAACAAGATACTTACCTCAAAGAAGCTAGACCAATACTCTAAAATGACCTTCTTGAGTGAAACAACCTCCGGACGACTCAAATCTAGCAAAAATAGCTTCAAATCATAAATAAAACTCATAGGAAACAATTACAGATAATAAAGTTTCGATCTTTAATTAAAAATAAAAAGTCAACCCCTGGGCCCGCACCTCAAAACTCGATAAAATTTATGAAATCCGAACACCCATTCTGATATGAGTTCAACTATACAAAAGTTATCAAATTCTGATATCAATTCGTCCCTCAAATCGTCATTTTACATTTTGAAAGATTTTTACAAAATTTTCCATTTTCCTCAACTCAAACCAATGATAAAAATAAAGACGGAATCATGAAATATAATAAATTTGACTGAAGAACACTTACCCCACTAATTTGCTTGAAAAACCTACGAAACATCGCTGAAATCCGAGTTCTACAACTCAAGATATGATAAAAATGGTCAAATCCTCTATTTTGGAAAATATATTCTTTTGCCTAGTGATTTGCACATCGCGATTGTGGAATTAAAATGCGATCGCGAAGAATAAACAAAACTGCCCAAAACATGTACTACGCGATCGCGGGCTAACTTGTGCGATCGTGAAGAAGAAAAACATATCAGTGCCCAGGATGTGCTATGCGAACGCGGAACAAGGGACGTGAACGCGATGAAGGACAACTCACACGTACGCGATCGCGAAACACTCCATGCGAACACAAAGAAGGAAATCTGCCAGCCATAAGAACATGCTACACGAACGCGGAAACATCAATGCGAACAGGAAGAAGAACTATACCTAGTTCCCACAACATATCGCGATCGCGACAGCATACACGCGATCACATAGAGTACATGGAGCATCAGAAAACCAGCAACTCTAAAACATGACGAAATGGCACGAAGCCCATCTAAAACATACCCGAGGCCCCCGGGACCTCATCGAAATATACCAACAAGTTCCATAACATAACATGGACATACTCGAGGCCTCAAATCACATCAAACAATGTCAAAATTATGAATCATACCACAAATCGAACTTATGAATTTTTAAATCTTCCAACTTCCAAAACTCGTTCCGAAACATATCAAATCAACCCGGAATGACGTCAAATTTTGCATGCAAGTACCAAATAACATAATGATAAGTGGGGATTTTGACTACTTATTAGTGCCTTTCAGCTTTCGTTTTAGTCCAAAAGCGTTTAATTGTGTTCCCGTAAACTGATGAAATGTGCTTAATTGCAGGAATATTAGAATATGAGCTCTCAAGATGAAATCCAACTTAAGAAGGAGTAATCTGAACTCAAGAAAAAAAACAAGCACAAAAGATCAGAAGTGCAGACCGCAAGTTGTAAAGAAATTCCCATCAAAGAAATGTGCAATGTGCGGTCCGCACATAAATTGTGCGGCCGCAGAAGCTGGGTCAGAGCAAAAGTTCAGAGAACCTACACCTCAAGTCTAACACAAGTACAGACCGCATAATTATTGTGCGACCGTAGAAGATGAGCTACGCGGCTGCAGACACATTTGTGCGGACTGCGAAAGAACAAGGTGCGGCCGCAGACATTATTGTGCGAACCGCAGAAAGAGGACAGTGCGGTCGCAGTTCAGAATTATGCGGCCGCAGATCTCCAATCCTGTCAAGCTGAAGAAAAGTGTGGACCACACATGGAATTATGCGGCCGCAAAACCTCCGAAAAGGCATTTTTGTCCGAAAATTCCAGTTTTGTATAAATAGAAGAGTTTCATTTTTTTAGGTCAACTTTTGACATCAGCTGCTACAGTAGACGGTTTCTTTTACTCTTTTTAGTAGCTTTTGCTATTTTGAGCTTTTTTGAATATTGATTTCATCATTTTAATTATCAATATGAGTTTAATTATCATTTCTTCTCCTCTTTCTTCCAATTTAAGCATGGGCAGCTAGATTTTTACTAGGGTTGTGATCCAACCCTAGTAGAAATATTAAAATCCGACTTGAACTTCTTATCAAATATTTTGTTCAATACCCATTTGGACTTGAAAAAGCTAAATTAGGCAAAATTACTCTCTGACCGAGAGGTATTGAGTGAGTACTTGAGTGTTGATAGTAATAATTTACCCTGACCAATAAAACAAGCTTTAAAGTTCACAACCCATTAGGCAAACACCTAGGTGAAGGTCATAGCCCTAGGACTTTTATATCATTTGAAAAACAACAAAAATAATTTCCTAATTTCATTCTTTGAATCGCAATCGTAGTTGGATTTTCAAACAAAACCAAATATTGCGGAAGTGTAAATTTAGATATACAAACTCATGCGCTAAGATATATTCTACTGATACCCATTCATATCCCTGCGGAATTCAACCCCGACTATTGTTGGGTATTACTATTGCATGCATCGACCGTTTTCATAACCTCAAATAGAGGATTGAAATTGGACGAGACCACATAACTGAGCTAATCCAACTCTCAGAATCGCAATTCGAGCATGATATCAACAAAGTCAATTACCGGTCAAACCTCTCAACCTTCCAAAGCTTCAACTTTCTAATTTTTGCCAAGATGCTTCAATTTAGTCTACGGACCTCCAAATCGCAAAGATAAAAAATTTAGTTATGTTATTTGTACCTATAGGTATTTTATCGTATAATAATATATTCTATTATTGCATCTCGCCTAATATCTTTTCATAGACTATGTTCTTGGTCCTAAAATATTCAGATTATTTATTTAATGCTAAAACATAGAACGGTGACTCTTTATTATTTAATCACGTAGGTGCAATATATACTTAATATAATAATTTACCAAGCAAAAAATTAATCGAAGAAACAATAAAAAAAAAAGTTTCTTAAGCTAATCGGCATGTTTAAAGATAATCTAAATGATTTAATGTTGTAAAAGGAACAAATAAATTCACAAGAATAAATTTATATAATATAAAAAACTATAAATGAAGAACATGATAACTTTAACGAGCTACATATAGTCAAACATATGAGCATATAGATATATAATGCAAACAGTGCTGATAGGATAAAATTCGAGAAGAAAATATTCATGAGAAACATAAATAAAGCATGAATCTAGCAAGCGAATTCTAGTTTTATAAGGTTAAATTTGCAGGTCGAACAAATTCTTTTTTATTACAATTTCTTCAAAAAACATTAACTATAAAAAGTTGGAAATATAGCACCTTCACACTTTGGATAGTTCAAGCGGTAATTACTACATAATAGTCTAAAAATATAATTTTATTAAAGTAATTAGTAATACATAGTTTAAAAAACGATATGCTATAGTTATAGTTAACAAATATTGCTTTATTCGTAAAACTGATTCATTCAAAATTTCTAATTAAATCAAGAAAAAATGCAATAACCAATCACCTCTATACTAATCATGAACGCTTGAAACAATCAAAATATGCATTCAAACAAAGTCTAGATTTCCTCGAAGGTAAAAATTTTATAACAAAAAGAAGAAAAGAACAACATATCCAGTATTATCCCACATCGTGGAGTTTGGGGAGGGTAGTGTGTATGTAGACTTTATCCCTACCTTGTAAGAATAGAGAAATTGTTTCCAATAGACTCTCGACTCAGGAAAGACTCAGGAAAGTATAAGCATCACATTAATAAAAATATAAACAAAAAAGGACAACACTCAAAAGTCATATAAAAGCAAAATAAAAACAATAAGATACTAAAACATAAAACGCTCTAAAGTCTAACCCAAAACATAAAACATCTGACGGTATCAACTTCAAGCGTTTCAAAACCACTCAAACCACCATATACCACTTTGATACATTATGTGGGGTTAACTAACCATGCATTTTTTTATAGGGTATCATATAAAGAGGAGTCTGACTTTTAATTGGAAACACAGATGGTTTCAATAGGTTATCAAAAATAGAATTCTTTAGCTACTTAGGAATCCAAAACAAGATGCCATGCCAGTGTCAAAGGCATGACAGGAGATGAAGTTAGGATAACTGAATTTTAAAAGATAGACTAAACAAAAGATTAGAGCACTTATGGAATTATATTGAAGCAGTCCAGCAATCTATCTATCTATATATATATATATATATNGAAAAAATATGTGTCATTCCAACCGACGCTTCTTACACTTCTGTAACTGCCAGCAAAAAAGAGGCGTCCGTTTCAATAACCTACCTTCCTTATTCCAGAATCTCTCTCACCCGCAATTGAAACCAATGATATCAGTTTCCCCTCCTCCATTGCTAAAGAACTGCTTTTTTTTTTTTTTTCCTATCTCGTAATTGTGACAGTGCAAAATTAGCATAGAAACAATATACTAAGTTGAATCTACAATAGAGTACAAGCACTAAAAAGAAATTGGTAATCCCTTTTCTCTCCCCCTACTGCTTTTTATTCTCCTAATTTATCCTTTTCCCTTTTCCATTTGAGAGTTTCACTTAATTATCCTTTTTTGCTCCCATTGTTCCAGTTATGCAACTTTGTTAATATTTTAGCTTTATAAAGCACTGAAGGAGGTTAGATGTTGTCGATAATTATTTTGTTAATATTTTAGCTTTCTAATGCAACTTTGTTGTTCAAGTTTGTCTAAATGATTTGATTAATACATGCACTTATTGGCTAATTCAGTGCTTGAAGCGTCCTTTCCAGGTTTTAACAAACGCTCTCTACGATCAAGTCTGGGTTTTCTCCTTCAACAATTGTGACCAAAGGTAATCTTACCCATTTGTGCTTTCTGATTTTAACTGCTCTTCTTAAATTTGTGATTAACTTNATTATTACCGTGTTGAATAATTCACTATTCCCTCTTCTATTATGATTATTGATAGCTTTGTAACAGAGATGTGGAGAAGTGCAGAATAAGGGCTTAAAAGGTCACTCTAGAAACTTCCAATGGTTCATTTATCTTGAGGTATTATATTCTTCTACTCTATTTCCTTGGTGTAGGTGAAAAGTTGCCTCCATAAGATTTATACGCACAACTAGCAACTCTTCAATAAGGGAATTCTTCAAATATACACCATTTTATCGGTGGAATTCTTATGATAATGTCTAATTTCAGAGTCATCAAGATTTCTCTTTTCTTATCTTTTTCCGTTGTTATTTTTTCCCCTGCTGATGCTATAAAGAGTGAGTTTTAGATCCATCAACAGAGTCTACTATAATATTGAACATTATAAATATTGGCAGGCCAGAAGGGCATTACTCAATAGCTAAATTTTAAGAGAAGGAGCATGAGTTGCAAGGAATTGTTCAAGAAGTTCTTTAAAAGTCTTTAAGATGGTCCCATGTCTATATCTTTTTGAGTTGGTTAAGATTTTATTTCAGATGTTGTGTTCCTTGCTCCTATAAATATTAAATACCCGTACTCGATGTTATTCAAAAGGTCGAAAAAGATATCAATATACACATATAAACATGTTACAATATGTTTTAAATATTAATTGTCTTTCTTTACTTTCGTGTTGGGGCACAATTTCATATGTAACCCTTTAATTATTACTTGATTTTCAACTTATTGAGTTTATTTCATTTAACTTTCAAGTTGTCCTAACACGTAAAACTACCTCTAAATATTAGCGCATCAAAACTTATATAAAACTTCTTGTGAAAAGGGGAGGATAAAGTGGGCATTTGCAATATTCCAGCGGCTTATGTGCAGTATGTTGCCCTCTTAAATTAAGTTGAATTATCCTAAACTATCACTTCAATCAGAATTTGATTTCCTTAAATGGTGAAAANAATTTCCTTAAATGGTGAAAAATATCTCATACTAATTGTTGTATAGGGGTTAAAACGGTAAGATGGCTTTGCGACTACTTATAACACCAGTTAAGAATGTCGTGAAAGTAGATGCCCCTGGTATTAATTTTCATAGCAATTCATGGCCTTTGAATGTTGACTTTGCTAGAGTGTGTTACACTTTTGTTTGGAATTTTTTTCATTGTAGATCTTCAATGAAATGCGTCAGAGTTGCCGGGAACAAGTAGCTGCTAAAGATTTCAGCCCCAAAAATCTGTGTTGGTAATCGCATTCTATCAAATTTAATTTTCTATACACAAATGGGCTACTTGGAATCCCTTTCTAACTCTCTTCTTGCTTCAGAATTTTATATGGAAAAAAGGCGAACACATAGATTGCAGATTTGCAGAGATATTCTATATGCCCTTCAATTTTTTTCCTTTTCCAGATAAATTACTGCTGCTCATGTTGCCAAAATAAAAGAACGAACTTTGGAGATGAAAGGACAAAATAATCAATGACTCTGAAGGCAAAGAACAGGAGAGAAAAACATGTTCCATTTGTTGAAATGATGACAAGCAAGTTACAGAGTTNGGCAAAGAACAGGAGAGAAAAACATGTTCCATTTGTTGAAATGATGAAAAGCAAGTTACAGAGTTGATAGGGTCAGAAGAAGAGAATTGTAAAGCGATAAGAAGATATATATACTTATAGTGAAGAAGTTGTTTGAAATTATGATCCATAGACACAAAGATAGAGATTGGCTTGATCATGTTTCAACATCAGAAAGCCTGTGCTTTTTCCATCCAATCCGAGGAGTGATCCAATGTGACAGATTATGTTATGATCAAATTTGTAAGATCATATGTTGTGTTTGGTACTTTAATACTATATGTTCCATGCAAATTTAATGTTTATGGGTTGTAACTTTTTGGGATTTTGATCTTCTTAGCTTTTGATTCGCCTATTCACGCAGGAAGATGTTTGAGGCTAACAAACACATGGTTTGTTCTTATTCCCTTTTATTTTCCCTTTTCTTTGTATTTTCAGCATCTTAGCCCTATTTTGTACCATACCAACTTCTTAGGAAGAAAGAAAATCTTCTTTTTTCCTGTAGATCTATGGCTTTTATGTTTATATGGTAAAAGTTATCATTTTCTTGATAAAATTAAGTTAAATGTAGGAATTAACTCGGAATACGTAAAGATCTTAAACATGAAAAAAACTTTCGGGATTGATGACCAATTTGTAAATGTATTAATTTCGGGAAATAACTCAAGCTCAGGCTGCTAAAGGAAAAAAAAAAAGATAGTATGATTTTTCGATTGCTAAAATCTCACAAATATTACTAATATGATTTCTCAATTGCTGATTGTTGTTTGTTACTATGGGATATTAGTTTTAATTATAGAACTGCAATACATCAACTGGACTATGAGTCATAAAACTACCTCTAGCTGTTTAGCAAAAGAAACTCATAGTGTTGGGATTACTTCCCATGTACTGTTTGACAAGGTAATACTAAGTGTTGAATGAGCTAGCGGTTTTTCAAGAGTCCTCATATTGGAGAACACCAGAGGCCAGAGTATAATGTTAATGTCATTGCCACTGGATCTCGATTTAAAAATCGAAATCTCGGGACTTCTCTTGCNATATCTTACTAACCCCATTAATTTATGTCCCCTAACCCATTAATTATGTCCCCCTATATTCTAAACACTAATATGCACGATATTCTTCTCCATTCTTCTTCTTCTTCACCCTTCTTCTATACTCTAAGTAAATGTCCAGAGATTGTTAGAATTAGGATATTGTTTCTGGTTTCTTCTTCCCAACATTATTTAATTTTTTTTTTTTTGCTTTTTCCCCATCATTTTTTCATTCATGTGCTATAGCACAGTTTCAAGGTAGATTTTGAAAAGACTAAACTGGTGAACTTAATTAACTTGTAATATATTGTTGTGTTTTTCTTTTGAGTGTCTCGCCTTCTGAATTTATTTATTTTTTGGTACTTTTTGGCGTAGTTGGAAGAAGTTTAACTTATAGTAAAAAAGAAACTCATGATATTGATGCATGAATTAATCTTATTTGTGTTATCATATCCCGCGCATTAACTAGTTAATTTATAATGAGCGGAATGTTTTCAATTTGATTTGCGGGAATAATGCCAAATGCTATCCGGATAGAGGACGTAGTAAGTATTTAAGTGCAATTTGAATTTCGACGATAGGAAGCTAAATTTAGTGCAAAAACGGTTTGGGGGCAATTTAGGATGTAACGACCTGACTTGTCGTTTTAAGAATTAACGTTCCGTTCAGTGACTTAAGGTCTCGAGCAACTACGTAATAAGTATTATGATCCGCGGGTGTGGTCGAGTTTGATTTTTTCGGAAGATCTAGAATTTAATTAAAAGAACAATTCTTATTTAATAAGCTTAAAAGAAAAGAGTTGACCGGGAGTTGACTTTTTGATATTGAAGTCGGAATCCGATTCTGAAAATTGAAATACCTACATTATGTCATTTATGACTTGTGTGCAAAATTTGAAGTCATTCCGGATTGATTTGATACGTTTCGGCGCAAAAATAGAAGTTGAGAGATTTGTAAAGTTAAGACATTTGGGAGTTTGGCCATGGTCAATATCGGGTCAAGACGACCTTTTTTCAGTATGTTGAGTGCGCGAGCAGGTCCGTAGCGTATTTTATAATTTAAATTCTTATATGGTTTGTGTCCGGAAGATTCCGGATGAGTTTCGGGATGAGTTTTGAGCGAGTCCGGGCATTTCGGCACTCTAATATTGTCCTGGCACTTTCGAGGATGCGGACAGCGTATTTTTGGGCGCTGAGGTGAAGGAGGACGCGGACCGTGCATTTTTGGGCGTTGAGGCGAAGGAGGGACGCGGTCAGCCGCATAATTTCGCGGCCGCGCTAAAATTTTCGCGGACCGAGCAATTCTGTCCGCGGCCGCGCTCCAGGAAGTTCTGCAGATCCGCTGGTGCAACTTCGGAATCCTATATATTTTGATCCACAAGGAATTTTGAGATAATTCAAAAACGAAAGTTGTAGTCCTTCGTGTCTAGTTTCTAGAAAAGTAAAGAAGTCATAACTTGGATATTTGTAGAGAAAGTTATGGCCAAAACACTAAAGCCTAGCATTGCAGCCCCAAGAATTTCGTAGACCGCACCAAACTTTCGCGACCGCAGGACCTGGGGCGCGGACGCGCTTGGAATTTAGTGGACCACGAAGTGGAGTTCAGTGGGTGCACTATATAAACTGGTTTTAGGGCATTGTTTCACATTTTGGACATAGGGAGCTAGGTTTGTGGCGATATTTCGTGGGTTTTTCAAGAAATTCATTGGGGTAAGTGATTCTAACTCGAATTTGGTTAATATACATGAATATATCACTGATTTCATCATTTAATTAGTAATTTGAGATGGAAATTTGGGGAAAAAATTGTAGAAACTTCATAAACCACAAATTTAAGATTTGAAGGTGCATTTGACATCGGAATTTGATAATTTTAGTATAATTGAACTCGTATCGGAATGGGTGATCAGATTTCATGAAAATTATGTCGGGTTCAGATAGGCGGTCCCCGCATTGACTTTTATTGTCTTTTTGGAATAAAATTTTAAGTCAACGTATTATTATCCGGAATTATTTCCGATAAATTTTAATGAAGTTATGCAATTAATTTGGATAGATTTGAGCGGTCCGGAGGTCAATTTAAGCAAGAAAGTGATTTTGGAATATTGACATAACTGCAAAAAAAAGGGTAAGTGTCTTGTTTAACCTCGAGTGGGATAAGGGTGGCTTGAAACGCATGGCTAGTGGGGGAACTACTAGAAGTCATGCGGTGATATAAGGTCAGGGTGTTGAAACGCATGCGGTGAGATAAGGGTGGCTTGAAACGCGTGGCTAGTAGGGGATAAGGGTGGCTTGAAACGCTAGAAGTCATGCGGTGTGATAAGGGTAGCTAAAACGCGGGATGCTATTTTGAGAAAAAATAATTTCTTTAAAATTAAATGTGAAGGCTCCCGCGGTGATATAAGAAAATGAAATATAGTGAATTTATTTATGACTTGGGACTACGAGGCGGTACCTCGGGAGTGTCATTTTATTGATATTTCTCTATGGTTGCACTTGCCTTTGGTTATTTTGTTTTTCCAAAATCTGTAAATTCTTGTGTTTTTCGTGATGTATTATTTCACTTAATATTAAGTGTTTTGTATTTCTTGATGTATTGTGTTGACCTCGACTTTTTCGTACGAGACTTTGAGGATTTGTATTTTTGGGTTGTACTTGTTTTTGATGATTGAGTTATTTTAAATAAAAGAAAAAATCTAGTATATTTTAATTTAATAAATTTTATATCCAAATCAGTAGTTTATCTGATATTTTATTTTAATTGAAATGTTATTTTTTTCACCCAAATAATTTCTAAAATAAATTCATTCATTTGTTGATTTCTTACTTGACTTAAAGATTTTAACCTTACTTTATTAAAAAAAAATAAATTGATCATGTGGATCCTATATACATTGAGGATATTGGCACGTGAGTTGTCAGTGCAGTTGAGATATGAAATGAGGGCACGAGGTGCCAGGAAAATATGATAATTTAATTATGGTAACGAAGTGCCGTGGAGATAAGAAAAATGGACTGAGACCCGTATTTATGAAAAATATAAAAATGGGCTGAGATCCGTATTTTTATGATTATGAAATGAGGTGTCACATGGTGACTTTTTAATTGAAGCATTATATTCAAAATATTTATTTGGAAGGATTTTTATTTAGAAAGTATTATATGAAAGAATTGTATTTGAAAGATATTTATTTGAGAAAAATTATATTTGAAAGAGAATTATTTGGTAGAATTATATGTGAAGGATATTTATTTGAAGAATTTGATTTAATTGGGTGTACTTGTATTTATTATTCATCTGAGCAATAATTTTGATGTTCTTGTTGCATTGATGTTACATCACTTGTTGATTTGTTGTTATCATTGCTAGTTATTTTCCAGTATTATTTTGTATACTATATTACATAGGTTATTAGACTAGTGAGTGTCTTGACTATACCTTGTCTCTACTCCACTGAGGTTAGTCTTGATACTTACTGGGTACCGACCGTGGTGTACTCATACTGCACTTCTGCATATTTTTGTGCAGAGCCAGGTATTGGAGGTATCAGACTTGAGCAGAATTAAAGAGGGACCGTAAGGAGTCAAGGTAGAGCTGCTTGGTCGTCACAGTCCTTGGAGTCTTTTCATTTAATTGTACTGTTAATTTTTAATCAAACAGTATTGTATATTCAGTCCTCGTGATCATTCCATGTATTCAGTTAGAGTTCGTGACTCGGTACTACCAGTCTTGGGAGGTTGTATATTCATATTTATTCCGCTGTTAGTTTTGGTTACTTATTTAATTTAAAAAAATGACTTCAAAACGTAACTGAAATCGGCTTACCTAGTCTTAGAGACTTGGTGCCATCACGACGCCTGTGGTAGGAATTTTGGTAGTGACAAGTTGGTATCAGAGCTCTAGGTTCATAGGTTCTACGATCACGAACGAGTCT